TTTTTAACTTTCCGAAGATGGTTGATGGGTTCCTTTTATGTCTAATCCATGTTCCGTGATGAGATCAGTGTTATCCGATGGCGGAGTAACGATGTTCAGAGATGAGCCCCACAAACCTAATGTTTTCATTGTTTCCCTCAGCTCGTTCTTTTGTCCCTTTGTTCTTTATTATTTTATGTCAACTATCTCTGATCTTCTACTCCAGGTAAGAGCCGTACTTAAAGTAGTCCGTCCAAGCTTTGCTATGGAACCTTGACTTTGCTCGGAGCAGGAATCAGAAGGTTTAGCAACTGAAGCCTAGAAAACTAACTGACGCAGACCTATTCTGCTCTACTTCCTAAGCCACGTCGACAACGGTACAAAAGGAACTTGGTCAGCACAATGGTTGATCGTGGGTACAGCCAATCTCCCACTTGGGAAGCTTTTTCGGCTAAATATGACAAGCTGCTCGAAGCTGCGCACCATGTTGTGAATGTTTTCAAAGGTGCACTATCCTAAAGTAGAGTTGAGTTCGACTCTAACCATACACACAAAGAACAAAGAATGGGTCTTGACTCTCCAATGAGATCAAGCTGTCTGCATAAGATCAGCTTTCAGTCAGTTGCGTCCCCGAAACAAGTACAATTACCAGGATCTAAGAGCAATGTCAGCCTGTTTTTACGAGCAAGTCGAGTAGGATATTACCACAAATTTTGAATGACAAGGGAATCAAGCATCCGTTTGTCAAAACAAGATGCCAGTTGCCAGTATCACGTGATCATATCGCGGGCTCATTTTAGAGTTGACTGGGATCGCATGTTGTTATAAATGTTGACCACTGACCAAGGGTTGTTTTTCGATTGGATCGCGGGCTCAAGCCAGGTTAGTTGCAATTAGAGTGGGGTTGTCTGAAAGGCGGTTAACGCTAACCCAGGATTAACAGTTAACCGAAGTATAAATTTTTCTTGTATAAAAATGTTTTTCACTGCTTTTGTTTTGTGCAGTTTGAGATTATTCAAACGGCAGAAGGCCAAGCAATATAAACAGAAAACCTGACTGCAAAGTGAAAAAGCACAAATCGAAATTCTCGCTTATCCTGGGTTAGCTTAATTGGGCTTTAAACAACTCGTCCTAGGAGCTGCGGCGTGTCTAGGCTTGGGTAAATCTATACATTAAGATTTATTCATTCAAAGTGAATGGTAACTTGCAGAAGTGTACGCAAGTGGAAGGAATCGTTTTAAGCGGAACTCCGGAGGCCAGGAGGGTCGACAAGTGGAGCACCATACCTATATAGGAAAGTAAAGGAAACTCATGAATTGATTTTCTCATGGTTATCATGCAGTAGCGGTATTGCTCGTGGGCGCGTACGCACGACGACAACGACGGCGGAGTCGCGCAAGATGGCGGCCATACTCCAGCTAATAGGTTGACAGAGATATGCAGCCTTGGTTTATAGCTAACTATTCACAGCAGTCTCTTTCATGCTCGTATAAGATTTGGAGAAAAATGGCGACCGCGTTCAAAGAGACGTAAATGTGAAAAAGAAAATGGGGGATCGGGTGAGAGGGGGGAAATAAAAACCGAAAGAAAAAGAATAGAACGCGGCCTAAAGGATGGAAGGGATGAGCGTGAAAGGAAGTAGCGAGCACTAAGGATCTGGGCTAGAGAACGCTAGTTACGTGAAAGTGATTATATTAGAGAGTCAGATCTTACACTCGCTCTGCAAGGGACTGGTGCGAATAGCAAACAATTCACAGAAGTCCCTTTCATGCTTGAATAAGATTTGGAGAATAATGGCGACCGCGGAAGGTCAAACGAAATGTGCAAACACACAACACCAGTCACCTAAACAAACGCCATGACTTAGGACAAACTAAACTTCCAAGATTCAAACTCATTAAACAAACCAAAACCAATTTAATCATTTACACACTCCAAGGTATTCAACACAAAAGTAAGGCAAAACAAAATTAAAAAAAGGAGAACTAAGAAAACAATACCATGAGTACAAACCGAGGATGAGGACGAGGACGAGGACGGGGACGAAGACGAGGACGGGGACGAGGACGGGGACGAGGACGAGGACGGGGACGAGGACGAGGACGAGGACAAAGATGATGATGATGATGATGATGATGATGATGATGATGGTGCTGGTGCTGGTGTTGGTGCTGGTGGTGATCATGATGACGATGATGATGATAGATTTCTATAGCGGCAAAATTAATAAATATTCTTAAGCGCTTTACAATGTAAGATTAAGATTACAGTAAAAATATAAGAAAAATGCGTCTAAAAATAATACAATTAAAAAAAACATATTATAAAACTATGGCAAGCTATACGCTAATTTAAAAAAGTAAGTTTTTAACTTTGACTTATAAAAAGTCAGGGTTGGACTTAGTCTTATTTCACGAGGAAGTTTGTTCCAGAGAAAAGGTCCAGAGTGTGCAAAGGCGTGATCACCAAATGTCGTGTGCTTGGTTCTGGGAACAGCGAGGAGGTTATGGTCTTGGGAGCGCGGGCGATAAGTTGTGTTAGTCTTTATGTGTAAAAAGTCCTTAAGAGCTTTGTAAACAAGAAGTAACAGGAAGCCAATGCAGGCCGTACAAGGCAGAGGATCTGGAGATATGGTCAAATTTGGATACGCCAACAATTAGTCTAGCAGCGGCATTAAATACTTTTTGAAGACGATCAGATTGGTAATTAGGGACACCTTAGAGAAGAGAATTGCAGTGGTCCAAGTGAGAAGAGAGGAACGCAAGGACAAGAGTTTTGGTAGTCTCAGGACTGAAAAATTTCCTTATTTGCCGAATTTTGTACAGGCCATAGATGCTTTACTGCAAGTCTTGCCAGCATGGAATGCCATAGACATCGTAGTGTCAAACCAGGAGCCCAGATTGCGACTGAACGCTTTCTAAAGGTTGGATAGTGGAGTCGCCAACGGTAATGGAGTCAATTGAGATTTTTGAAAATTGATGGCTGAAGCCAATAATTAAAAACTCAGTCGTTGCGTCGTTGATTAATAAACGGTTATGAATTACCCAAGCACGGACATCGGAAATACAGGCTTCCACAACCGCTAGAGCGTGATCTTGAGACAAAGTGCCGTCTGGTCTAAAAGAAAGATAGAGTTGGGTGTCATCGGCATATCTATGGTCAGAGGGTAGATGGTTGGTGATCACATGATAAAGCCTAACAATCGTACCGTTTTAGATTTTTTGTTTTCGCCTTTAAAACGATAATCTACGTATGAATAGCTTTAATTTGGATTGTTTTAGCTATACCCGCTCTGCTCATCAGAAGCAATCAGCCTGCAATATAAATGGAGTTGCAAACACGAAAACTTTGATTTCGAAAGTTTTATCTTTTATCACTGCTTTACTGAATAAGCATTCCTTAAGTTCAAATTGTCATATCTCCTTTAATATTTGAGATATCAAAAAACGGTTTCACCAGATTTCAACTTCTCTTGTTGCGCTCTTTTGAAAGCGTTGAAACAACGTTGGAATTTCCAAACTTTAAATTAAGAGTATGGTGTGACGCCATCGATTATGACGTCATCACTGACTTTTGATGTCAATTTTTTTGTCAAAAACGTTGGACTTTTGTCGCTATTCACTTGCTAAGTTTGATAATGGTATGTCAAGTTAATTTGAAGTTATGCTAAAATGAGCGCTCAAAGATGTTTATATCCCTAGTGTGTCATTGGCTTCTCAGCCGAGCTCATACTCTGAGAAATGCAATTTAAAAATACATTTTCGGCTTCTCAGCCCAAGTTAAAAGACCTTCAAGGCTTCTCAGCCCTGGCAACACACATCGGGAAAAGAAATTATAATAAAATCTTCTTGGCCTCTTAGCTCAACACTTGCAAAATAATAAGACCTCCTTGGCTTGGCCGCCCAACTTAACATGTCTTCTCGGCTTCTCAGCCCAACTAAGACTCTGGGAAATACAGTATAAAAGACCTTTTCGGCTTCTCAGCCCAAGTTAAAAGACCCTCTTCTCAGCCCTGCTAATTGCACTCGGGGAATAAAATGAAGTAAAATCCCCTCGGCTTCTCACCCCACATTGCGGGCGGAACGTAACAAAGCCGTGTACAAGCACGTGAAAGATGACGAGCGCGCTAAACGAAATACAAAGCATGCCGGGACGGTTAGAAAAGAACGCAAATGGCAAATATGCAGCAACGAACGAAGCAAAACGAAAACCAAGGAAGGGAAACAATTAAAACAACTAGGGGAGGCAGCGAGATAGCTAGAGGCCAAGGTACAGGGTTAGTTGAAATGGTAAGAAATTAAATGGCGAGAAACGCCAGCACAAAACAAAGCAAGGAAAAACCTGCAACTGTTGATGAAGAACTGCAGCCTGGGCGGCCTTAATGCCTTGAACGGCCGGAGCTTGAGGACCTTTATCCGCCATAGCAGCATATTATTAGAGCGAGCAAAGGACAAGGTACTTCGCGAATGCTTACGCTAGTTGCGTGAAAGTGATATCATACATTAGAGAGTCGGATCTTTTACTCGCTCTGCAGGGGACTGGTGCGAATGGCGTACTTCTTTGATATTGGACATCCATGTTATGGTCAATTGACAGCTGTCAAAACAAGGTATCCGTTGACCAGTATCACATGACCATATCGCGGGCTCAAGTTAAGAACTCATCGAGATCAAGTGTTTTTTAAAGTTGATCGCTGATCAAGTGTTGCTTTTCCGCTTGGATCACGGGCTCGTGTCAGGTTAACTTGTTGTAAATAGATGTTAGCAGTTAAAGCTAACCTAGGATTGAAAGTTAACCAAATTTTCTTTGTATACAAGTGTCTTTCACTACTTTTGGTTTGTGTAGTTTGAGGTTATTCAAACTCAAAACAGAAGGCCAAACAATATACAGAAAACCTCAACGCAAAGTTACAAAATTCCAATCAAAATTCTCGCATGTCCTGGGTTAGCTTAATCGAACCTTGAACAACCCGGCTCAGAAACTTCCCTTTTAGGCTTGGCTAACTCTATATATTAGTGGAGCCCCGGCGGCCCAAAGGTCCGCCAAGCGGGGCACCATAACTATGGGAACAGAACCACACGCATGCACAGAAATAGAAAACCATAACACTCTCATTTTATGGTTAACATGGCTAGCGGCATGGATGGCGGGCGCTTGCTCCCAACGACGAAAAACGACGTCGCGCAACATGGTGGTCATACTCCAGCTAATACAGTCTTGATTTACAGTTTCGTACATCTTTGATATTGGACATCCATGTTATGGGGTAAACTGTAATGCAAGGACCACTTGTGCAAACAGCAGCGGAGTGAAGCCGGATCTCGGTTTAGATCAGGATCAGCAGTCTAAAATAAAGCATAAAACCAGTTGAAAGGCTGACCGGACGGCTGGAGAGAGTAAATTCAAGGTCCAATATTTTGGTTAGACAGGACTCACCTTCTTCGGGGGCTACACTGAAGCTAAGTAGATATGGATAAAACGGTTACAAAATTTTAAATGATACTGAATGAAATATGTGACATGATTGGTTGACAAAAATAGAGAAAAATGAAACGTGTACTAAAGCGGATACATAAAAAATAAATAGATTAAATTTCGTCACGCCTGTTTAACCCAGAAGGTTCAAGGGTCCTACCCTTGGACATCAGAAATGTTTCTCTTGCCTTGCGAATAGCTTCCCTATTTGAGCTGATGAGTTCGAGAGGAACCAGTTCTATGTTGTCCATAGAATGAGCAGGGATGGTTAAGTGATCTGAAAAGGCGGTGGCTTGATCAATGTGTCGTTGTGTGATGGCTTTTTTGATTGCGCGTCTGTGCTCGCAAAATCTGTAGCTGAGATGACGTTTAGTCCCGCCTATGTATGGAACGTTGCATTTGTTGCACTGTATCATATAAACCAGATTGGAAGAAGAGCAGGTGATGTGATGCCGTATACGTCTTTGTTCGTTGGTCGAGAAAAAAGTATAAGACTTGGTCCCCTCTGTAATGAAAGGACACGTTTTGCACTTATTTCTGTGACAACGGAAAGCTCCCG